AAATATACCTTTATTGCTTTTCTGGCTGTAAATAATCGAGTCTGGACCAGACAATCCAGTGATTAATATCATGAGCATCTAACCACGAAATTTGGATCGATGACATGCATCAACCAAGTCAACCCACAATCATAGGTTTCTGGCGTGCCCAAGGGACGCAACTCTGCACAGCGAATCGCGGCGCCTTAAACGACTGGCCCCCCGTGCCCCCCAACTAATTTCAAAAGGAGAGACATCATGCATTATGTCTCACTTTATCTCCTATTCTGAACCTAAATGAATTCTGTTTGGCCTGATGATTCATGTCCGCTTTGGATTGATCACATTTCTTTAAGGCTCAATGGGGCGGTCGGGTAGCCTAGTGGTTAAAGCGTTCGCTGGTCACGCCGAAGACCCGGGTTCGATTCCCGACATGAGTACAATGTGTGAAGCCCATTTCTGGTGTCCCCCGTGATATTGTTGGAATATTGCTAAAAACGGCGTAAAACCATACTCACTCACCATACCCGTTCTCGTGGGTTTCACCGAAGTGGTTAACATCTTAGACCTGCATCACTTCGGGCTTTCCTCCCACATTAAGCTGACACGCCGCGATATAACTGGAATACTGTTTAAAGCGGCGTTAAACCCAACTCACTCACTCACTCACTTAAGGGTTCACAGGAAGCAGACTATGCTTTCCTCCTGTGTCACATAATGTATTTCCTTCTTAAGTAAGTACTTTCTTGTTATTTTATTCTAGCACCTTATCCGATCTGATTATACTGGGAACAGGGAGCACTTGTAAATATTTTTCTCAATCCAAGCATCTGGTTCCAGGGTTCCACCCACAGAAAACGCGTGAACACATTGATACAGTAAACTACGGTTATAACGAACACGCTTATAACAAACTGACGGATATAACGAACTACTTTTTTGGTCCCGATAATTAGCTGTATTATGCTGTATATATGCTTATAACGACGGGGTCAGGCAACACGCCCTCTGACACGCGTTTCACATTGTAAACACACTGACGGGGTCAGGCAACACGCCCTCTGACACGCGTTTCACATGTAAACACACTGACGGGGTCAGGCAACACGCCCTCTGACACGCGTTCACATGTAAACACACTGACAGGGTCAGGCAACACGCCCTCTGATGCGCGTTCACATGTAAACACACTGACGGGGTCTGGCAACACGCCCTCTGACACGCGTTTCACATTGTAAAAACACTGACGGGGACAGGCAACACGCCCTCTGACACGCGTTTCACATGTAAACACACTGTCGGGGTCAGGCAACACGCCCTCTGACACGCGTTTCACATTGTAAACACACTGACGGGGTCAGGCAACACGCCCTCTGACACACGTTTCACATGTAAACACACTGACGGGGTCTCGAATGAGATGAAACTCGGGACAAACCGATCACAATGTAAAAGATTTAAATACAGAGTCTTTCTTCAGCCATCCTATTGTAAAGAGATTAAAATACATTGAAATTGTTGACGTCGAACTAATTATAGCATGGGATTTCCCCGTATTTCACAACCGCTTGCAATGATCAGCAAACTCTCAGTCCCTCGAGGTGACGCAGTCGTCATACATGAGCAACAGAATTCATTAAAAGTACATAAACACAATGATTGAATTAATCCCTTTTAGATAAACTGTAACCCTGTGGAGAATATCTTTCGGAGAAAAACTTTGAACTCTACAGAATCTGATGATACAAATAGTGTTACACTGTTTCAGAAAATATGTTACGCAGAGTCACAGTAAGTAACCTCGAAGGTCATCATTTCACTTTTATTTTAAATAATTAAGACCAATATTATATAATTTTTGAACAAGTATAACCCAGCAATTGCCAAAGTACAACAAACACAAGGGATCTAGCCTCCTCTGAAGTGACTATTCAGGGATGCGATGAGCGTCTATAATTTCTTCGTGTATGCGTTTGGTGTTAAATAGTCTAGAAAACTTAAAGATGTATGGCCAGACGGAATACTATCTATCAATCAAAATTGCTCGTACATTGGACAGCGATTGACAACGGAACAGAGAGTGGAATTCGTCACCAAGTGTACTTGTATCACATAGTGTGTATGGGCGATCTTCACGAGGTACACCTGTCCACCTCCCCGCCTCTATTGGCAATGTATGCTTACATGTCAGGTTGCTTATTGCTTGTTTGTTGTTTTACGCCGCACTCAGAATATTCCAGCTATATGACGGCGGTCTGTAAATAATCGCGTCTGGACACGACAATCCAGTGACTGACATCATGAGCATCGATCCACGCAATGGGGATCGATGGCATACATCAACCAAGTCAGCGAGCCTGACCACCCGATCCCGTTAGTCACCTCTTACGACAAGCATAGTCGTCTGTTTCGGCAAGCACGGGTTGCTGAAGACCTGTTCTACCCCGGACCTTCACGGCTCCATTTCTTCCTTCAGTATACTTAGGATAAGTACGTGGCAGAAGTAACAGTATGTTCACAAATTAATGTTTGAAGATGAGAAATGTCGTTTAGTGCTAAAGGATACAAGTTAAAAGCAGTAACACCTGGAAAAAGAAAAGAAACCCGAATAACAAATTTGCAATCAATCCACAATTATATTCTTGAATCAAATAGGTTTCTACCTTTCAATACTTAATTGTACAATGGTTTATATAGTATAATGTGTCTATTGTATGACGTTCTAACTGCTTGCGACCGCCTACATGGCCTAGTGGTAGAGTTTCCACCCGGAGAGCGGAGGGTCCGGGGTTCGATCCCCGGCCGCATCATACCAAAGGACGTTAAAAGATGGTACTTGTTGTTACCCTGTCTGGCGCTCGGCATTGAGGGGCTAAGGTGCATGGGCCCGGAGTCAGTATAACGTGTCTGAGTGGGGTATTCATGTTAAACTGTGACATGGTATCTCAGTGTGCTAGCACTATAAATCGGCATCAGTCCGGACTAGTACAAGCAGCCACACACAAACACACGTACAATTATCTTGGACACGACGTTAAACCCAATTTCGCCTCAAACTGCTTGCCCAACAGTAAATGGTATATAAACATGTGCGTTGACGTCATGTTATAGTTTATACAGGAATACTTTTATGTGATGGAAATCTATTCCCGTACGCTTATTCTTGTGGATTTTGAATTGAAATATGTCAAAATTTGCACACCAACGGAATATACAATTTATCACTGGAACCCGTGAACATCCGGGGTAGAACAGGTCTTCAGCAACCCGTGCTTACCGTAAAAGGTGACTATGCTTGTCGTAAAAGGCGACTAACGGGATCAGGTGCTCAGGCTTGCTGACTTGGTTGAAGCATGTCATCGTATTCCAATTGCGTGGATCGATGCTCATGATATCAATCACTGGATTGTCAGGTCCAGACTCTATTATTTACAGACCGCCGTCACATAGCTGGAATATTGCTGAGTGTGGCGTTAACAAAAAAAACCCAACCAATTTAACTATCCTCGTTCCAAGATCCCCCTCTGTTCGTTCTACACGCGGGAATTTACCCCATAGAAAAGTGGGCCGCAATTTCTGACACAGGAATTCTGATGATAAAGATAGTTGATCAATGTTTACCATACGCGCCATCACAAAGTCCGCCGACAAGAGTCGAGTGCTACTGATATCAGCGCTCCTTCAGTCTTAAAAAACGATATTATTTGTTTGGACCACAATCGTTTTGCGCCATGTCACTCATAACGAATCTATTGTGGCGACAGGACCCAGGTAGTCCTCAAAATAGAGAGGAGATATAATACCCTGGACTCACGAGGATGGTAAAGCGATGTCAATACATACCTGATTAATTGTCAGTACTTCATCTGTTAATATATAATTATGACTACGCGTTGCTAATCTCTGCGAAACACACTTGTCTGGGAATAAATAAGTGAGTATCGTTTTACGCTGCCTTCAGCAATATTCGAGCAAAGTCACACCAGAAATGGGCTTCACACATTGTACCCATGTCGGGAATCGAACCAGGGTCTTCGGTGTGACGAGCGAACGCTTTAACCACTTGGTTACCCGACCGCACTTGGAATAAATGAAGGCCCTTAGCCCTGGGCCGAGACATCCAGCAGACTGTGGCCTGGCCGCTCCACGGGGACAGTGTCAGGTAGGGACCTGGGGGGTAGCCTGGCCGCTCCACGGGGACAGTGTCAGGTAGGGACCTGGGGGTGACCTGGTGGTTGAAACGTTCGCACGCCACGATATCGATTTCCCACATGGTTACAATGTGCGAAGCCCATGTCTGGTTTCTGGATATTGCTAAACGCGGCATAAAACCACACTCACTCATCACACTTCGATCAGTAATTCATATCATTAAATTAATCCTGTCACTTATGAAAAAGAAGCATGTCTCCCCCAAACAATGGAAACGGCAACTTTGCGCATGCGTAGAAATGGTAACAATGCTCTCATTTTGCAACCGATTTTCATTTTGAGTATACAGGAATATGTTTTTCACGTTTAAATGTGAGTGATATATAAACAGAACTTCTAGTTGCATAGCACTATTTTGCTAAGAAAAAAACAACATTTTTTTTCAATAAACTGTATTTTACAGAAAACTGTACTGCGTGAGGCGAGTCAGACTTGTGACTTCTTTGAGTGTCGGCCATCTTATCCTGAAGTCGCTGAACGTTGCCAATAATATCTATCACTGGATTGTGGTCCAGACTTGATTATTTACCGACGCCATCATATAGGTGGAATATTGCCGAGTGCGGCGTGTAAAAAAACAAAGAAACGAACAATTTACCTTAACTTGCACTCCATGGGGTAGGAAAATCAACTTCTGCATGGCTCAGCGAAAAAGTTCTAGATAAATATTATCTGTTTTATCAAATGGCGGTAGGTGATGAATATGTAAGTAAATACACTTTGATATCTTTTTAGGAAGTCTCAATCCACGGTCCCTAGGTACACTCTATATCTATCATAATCAAGACACAGGAATGTGAACCTACGTCACAATGACACCAGTTCTTGGGTTGAGCGAATAGCGCGATTTATCTCAAATGATGACACAGTTAAGATCTTTACTGGAAAGGTAGGTCATATATACAAGCAGGTAAGATCGTCTTCTTATATGGCGTCTCACTAGGACTGTTATTTTCAAACGTTTCTCAGCGGGTATTTCGTCAGCGAGGAACATATCTCCAGATTGAATGTGTGAGTGGGTAGGTTTTAAGTGAGTGAGTGGGTGGGTTTTGAGTGAGTGAGTGGGTTGTTTTTGAGTGAGCGAGTCATGTGAGAAAGTATTTCAGTGATTTGTGTAGTGATCGGTTGCGGCTACAGTGAAATCATACAAACTATTGTCCCTGATGACGGAGCAAGAAATAGCTCTGAATCGTCGTACAAAGAACAAAAAGAAGCTGCTATCCATAAAAAAGTGTCATGTATTCATGTTCTCCCAACTTCTAAATCCCTATTAAAGACTTCTTCTGGAATTAGGGTAACCTGTTATTTAAAAAAAAGGATACACAATTGACGCCCATCAACCCCTCCCAGCCCCCAACTGAATGAGCCCGATATGTCACCGTGACCCCCACGTCTCCGTGCGCCTCCTGTGACCCCCCACCAAGGTCACTGACCCCACCACACGTGGAGTAACTACAAGGCAACTAAAGGAATACATAAGATAAGATACACCTGGTATGACGCACATTATCTCCACTGACAACAGATACGGCAGCAAATATGTGTCGTTGGAAGTGCAATATGTAATGTTTGAAGATTTTAACAGAGTGACACGTGAAGATCCGGGGTAGAATAGGTCTTCAGCAACCCATGCTTGCCGTAAAAGGCAACTATGCTTGTCGTAAGAGGCGACATTGTGATCGGGTGATCAGGCTTGCTAACTTGGTTGATGCATGTCATTGTATCCAAAATGGATGGATCGATGCTCATGATGTCAATCACTGGATTGTCTGGTCCATACTCGACTATTTACCAACCACCGTCATACAGCTGGAACATTGCTGAGTGCGGCGTTAAACAACAAACAAATAAAACACACAAATAAAGAAGAGTGACCTAGCAGTCCATTCTCTTCACAAGCATGGACAACGCGCGGTGCAACCTGTGTGGAACCCGTCCGCCACGCGTGTGTAAAGCTTTGAACACGGGAGTGCACATTGTCCGCCACGCGTGTGTAAAGCTTTGAACACGGGAGTGCACATTGTCCGCCACGCGTGTGTAAAGCTTTGAACACGAGAGTGCACATTGTCCGCCACGCGTGTGTAAAGCTTTGAACACGGGAGTGCACATTGTCCGCCACGCGTGTGTAAAGCTTTGAACACGGGAGTGCACATTGTCCGCCACGCGTGTGTAAAGCTTTGAACATGGGAGTGCACATTGTCCGCCACGCGTGTGTAAAGCTTTGAACACGGGAGTCCACATTGTCCACCACGCGTGTGTAAAGCTTTGAACACGGGAGTCCACATTGTCCGCCACGCGTGTGTAAAGCTTTGAACACGGGAGTGCACACTGTCCGCCACGCGTGTGTAAAGCTTTGAACACGGGAGTGCACATTGTCCGCCACGCGTGTCCAATCCGTGATACACGCATTTCGGAGGGAACAAACTTTTGACCAAAGATTGACCCATGATGAGCTGAAAATGAAGAACCCATTTTGGACTTCCTGGCGACAAGGGTTAAACTCCTTATCTAAGGGACTTGCTGATGTCTCCTTCTGAGAAGTGGTTCAGTAGTAAAGGGGAATGGTGATTCTAGACCACTTCCACTGGAGCCCACGATGTGATTCAATGATCGTCATGCGACTAAGCTAAATTGTAATGAAAAGGGCTGTAGCTCACCCCCACCTGAACCCTGTCAGTGCTTCTATGATATAAATTTTCATAGGTAATGGTGATTCTAGACCACTGCCGCTGTAGCTACATTTATTCCTCGATACCTTTTGGGGCCAGGACTATACATGTTTCCGAGTAATGGGGAACTTAAGATCGGCCAAGTGATAGGTTATAATAATAAAATTGTGACTGCTACCGATAAACAAAAACCAGGTATAAATTCAGATATTAACACCGAATTAATAACGCAAACAAACATAGGTGAAACAGGAATAGTCACGCCACAGTCATCTTCAAAACCACAAGTTTCACAGCCACAAGTTGTAAAACCACATATTGCCGCTCAAAATCAACAACATATCGATGAAAAAACAGCGCTTATAGTAGGTGGAGTCGCGGTTGGTTTACTCATGATTTGGATAAATAGTCTTTAGCGGATACGTACAACACCCCGGCATTTGCTACGATCAGTGCCCACAAGTTTTGACTAAGCCAAGTGGTGGTCTTGGCTAATAAATTCAAGAGCCAGGATACAATAGTCCCTATTATGTCGGGAAGTGCGGACGCGACTTTCTAAGCGAGCTTTCCTAGTGCTTCTACTAATGCCTTTCAATGCTTTTTAATCCTCTTTTTTTACACCATCTGACCGAAGTGGTGTAGGCGTACCACCGTGGCCACCCCCGCCTCTGGTTAACGCGAGAGTCATAGTCTATATAATAAATCCCAATGCCATTAAAATACTGGTAATGGTTATCCCCTGTTCTCTGAACAATGTTTTAATCTTTTACGAGTACGAGAATGCGTGTCGGTGGGCGAGACTTTAATTACATGTTGAATAACAACTGGTAGTGGTCAGCGCGTTCGGCACTTACCAGTGTACCGTTATCAGCTATTTAGCGGCAACTGACCAAACTAGAAAATTGAAAACGCGAAACCAAACACGAGCTGAGTGATTCTATCGTCATTTATAATCTTCTAATACTCAACTTTCCAAACTGACCGTCTTCTTTGACTATTAACAGACCAAACCCATCATACAAAATTGTATAACATGTCCAGTCTTTATTAGTCCAAAGTCTCAAATTTCAAACTGGACATGCACGTGTAGACTTGCCTTCAGATTAACAAAGGAGGTCTCAGGTATAAATATAGGGGGAAATCGACTGTTAGTCATTCCTGCTTTGCCTGAGAACCTCTTTCTGTTTGTCTTTGAAGGTGTGTTGATCCTGTGGCTAATTCCGGGATAATGAATTATCCCGGGGTGCACAAAGCTTACAAGACTGTTTACGAGTGTGTCATGAAAAATACAAAGGAGAATCAACCCTTTTCATAATAGACGACTGCAGTGCGAGGAAAGAACTTACCAAAACGAAAGATATGCTTTCATATTTAGCATTCTCCGGTCGACATACTCAGCATAGCGTTTGGGTACTTACTAAAAAATACAACTCTGTCCTGAAAGATCTGAGAGAGCAGACCAAATGGGTAGCCCTGTTTCATTGCAAAGACCGAGATTCATTTTAGGAATGTCTACACACAAATGATGTTATTTCTACCAAGTTCGAGCGGGAAACCTAGAGTCAGAAGTCAGACAACTGTCAGCGGAAATGAAACACTGTAAACTCGTATTTAAAACTCACCAACCAGCTGCTTATACAAGTGCTTAGCAAAAACTATAGCAAAATATAGCAAAATATAGCAAAAATATAACAAAATAAAACATATTATAGCAAAAATATAGCAAAATATAGCAAAATATAGCAAAATATAGCAAAAATATAACAAAATATAACATATTATAGCAAAAATATAGCAAAATATAGCAAAATATAGCAAAATATAGCAAAAATATAACAAAATATAACATATTATAGCAAAAATATAGCACAATATAGCAAAATATAGCAAAATATAGCAAAAATATAACAAAATATAACATATTATAGCAAAAATATAACAAAATATAGCTCAAGCAAAATAAAAGTGGGCTGAGAGGTTATTCTCGAATGAGAAAAGCTGAATTGATTGCTTTACTGGGGAATAATCAACCCGTTGTTGAACCGGTTGTTGAGTTGAGATTTGTTGGTAATATAAGAGGTTGGAAGCTGGATATTAATTCCAACATGGATGTTACAGATGTTAACCCATCATATCGAGCAAAATTAATGAGGAGTTACATGATTTAAATAGTATAAAATACCAGCTAACAGTTAAAATGTCATTGAGTAAAAATAACGCAGACGATAGCGCTGAATATATCGAACCTTGTTTCCAGGGCAACCAAGAAGTTATAACCGAATCTGAGACTATAAGCGCATCATTGGATGCTTCAATTCAGCGGATACAAGAAACTTTAGAATGCTGGACTGATAGAGGTTCAGCTTGGGGTGTGGATAGAATCGATACTGTATATTTAGATATAGCAAATGATATGCCTTTGAAAGGTGGATCTTATAACGATTTACCCTCGTATTATAAGAAAAAAAAGCCATAATTAATGTAAAGATTAATGGCGATGACTGTTTCAGAATGATCTGCCCAGTTTCCCGCAGACAAACATTCGGATAGGCCTTCGAGCTATCCCCAAAACGATGGACTCAACCTTGATGGTTTAGACGAACCTACGCCAATCTCACAAATTGATAAGGCGGAAAAGCAAAATAATTTAGCTATAAATGTTTTTCGGACATGGCCCTAGAGCATATTCCCATAATCAATTCATTTCTGATATAAAAAAGATGGAAAATATAATTATACGTGGATAAAGAGTTTAAGCATGCTATTATGTGATCAAACAAAGCATGCAGGAAAGAAATATTTCTGTGAAAGTTGTCTGCATGGGTACAGCAGACAAGATCTATTAGAAGCGCATAAAGAAGACTGCAGAGGTGTTGGGCAGACTGCTATCAGGATCGATATGCCTTAAGAGGGAAAAAATATATTAAAATTTGAGCATTATTGTAATCAAATGCCAGAACCGTACATAATTTACGCTGACTTCGAAGCACTTATCAAACCAATAGAAAATACCGAGCAGGGAACTGAATGTAGTTTTACATACAAGACTCAAGAACATACACCTTATGGGTTTGGATATAAAGTTGTAAGGTATGATGGGAAAACAAACCCGCCCGTGATTTACAGAGGTCCCGATGCAGCGGAAGAGTTCCTAGAATATCTACAAAATGAAGAGAGAATAATCAGGGGAAGTTTATCCCGTCAGAAACCCATGTGTATGATGAGGGATGATTGGAGGGCCTATAAGAAGTCAATGAGTTGTCATGTTTGTAATAAACCCCTGAATGGAGAGTCCGTAAGAGATCATTGCCACTTTAAGAAGTATCAATCACAGGATATATGGATTAAGAATGAACAAGACATCATTATTCCCCTTAGGTACAAAGAGATGGATTGATAAGGATGGTGTAACTACCTATGCTTATGGTTATGGTGGTAGTACTGTATCTCGGGGAACTATGAGCAACTCTTTTCGTACGAATCCCCTCCCCGGCCCAACTTTGAGATAATATAGAATAGGCCCACCTGCTTTCATAGCCAATCGACTAATGTTGTATATCTTATGAGTCCAAATCAGATGGGTTGCACGACGTTGGCCTCCTTCGAGTTCACCCGGCTGGTATAAATATCTTACGCGTACTCTATTAGGAAGTTTTTGTTCTTTGCCTCTCCTCGGTGGTGAAGATTCGGATGTCACAGATTTCATTTTAATCGCATTGAATGGTTTCTTCCCGATTAATCTCGTTACTTCATTATTCAGCGCTGATACAACAGCTGATAATCGTGTCACCCATTCGGTTCATCTCAATCGTTCCGATATCATTTCAATCCCATACTGATAGCCAAACAAACGTTCTGCTAATGTCTGGTTAAATCTTTCAACAATAGCTTGGCTACGGTGGGCCTCTTTTTCACCACGCCTGATTGCGACAACGTGTTTTTGTTAATATTTTAGTTACTGATCCCACAAACTCGCGACCAGAATCTACTTGGAATAATTTAGGCCATTTTAATGGTCTGCGTTTTTATACTCAACAACAAAAGTTCCTGTGACACCAATATTTCAGTGTATTTTTCAAACAAGTAAAGTTTGGTTTTCAATATTGTAGTACATGTATGGAATCAAGTCACAATAACGCAAATGCTACAAAAATGCATGCATTCCATGCAAAAGTTGACTTTTATGCAAGCCCCATGCATTTCACTCCCCAAGAATCGGTATAAAACATGTGCATTAACAGGATTCAATATGCATTGTTTAGCATCGTGCTGACAACAACCACTCAGAAAAACATCAAAATTACGCAATTATTCAACATTACGAAATGCCACGCCTGTCCGAAAATGAGCGTCTGCAAGCCATTGGTATGCTTGAAGCAGGATCGAGTCAACGTGATGTTGCAAGACAATTTAACGTCTACAGAAACACCATTTGGTGTTCATGGCAACGTTGGCAACAGACGAATGCAGTCAGAGACCATCCTCGGAGTGGCAGGCCACGCGTAACCAATAATCGACAAGACAACTGGATTCGAACAACACACCTACAAAATCGATTCCAGCCAGCAACAGTGACTGCAAGAAGCATCCCTGGCCCTCGACAAATATCTCACCAATCGAGCACATGTGGGATGACGTCAACCACGTGTTCCACAAACACTCCAGGAACTTCGAAACATGCTCCAGCAGATAGGGAGAGATATCCCACAGGACTTTGTGCGACGCCTGGTCCATTCCATCAGACGAAGATGTGTTGCTTGCATCGCAACCAGAGGTGGACACACACGCTATTGATTTGTAAATTGACATTTTGGCATGTTCGTGTTTTTTTTAATGAAATCACGCATTTCCTGAAGTCAGTATGGCAAATTAAACCATTTGAACACTTACAGGAGTCTTTTATGTGTTGCAAACCGAAATTGTTTCAGATTTGGGAAAAAACATAACTCTGCAATAAATCTTATTCAATGTCACAGGAACTTTTGTTGTTCAGTATATATGCTGCTCAGTGCATTTGGTACTTCTGTTGAACCTTTCGAGGTTAATGGCTCAGCCTCTTTGTACCAACTAGCCACATCAACTACGGTTAAAGCGTATTTATATGTTTTGCGTCTTACCTTATCATGAGGAAGAAACAAGAGGTCAGCCTGATGATCTTCCTGGAGAATTTCCTGGAGAATTTCATTGTGTCATGCGAAGATCGAGTCTCCAGGAGACTTTTATTGTGTCTTGTGAAGGTCGAGCCTCCTGAAGACTTCATTATTTCACGTGCAGATCGAGTCTCCAGGAAACTTTCATTGTGTCATGTGAAGTTCGAGTCTGTAGGAGACATGTATTGTGTCATGTGAAGATCGAGTCTCCAGGAGACTTTCATTGTGTCATGTGAAGATCGAGTCTTTAGGAGACAGTTATTGTGTCATGTGAAGATCGAGTCTCCAGGTAGGACAAGGCTCTTTCATCATTATATTTCCAACTGTGGCTTTACCGCTACTCTATGCTCAGTTTCAGAACACTTTTTGGTGAATAGGGTTGTGGCAGAAATCACATTTATTATTAACAGGTGTAACAGTCATCAGGCGCCGGGCAACTGACGACTCCAGGCGTGGCAATATGGACCCTCCCACGAACAGCAGCCACAGCCAGCAGCCTCAGCCTCCGCCTCCGCCAGTCACACAGCACGGCCTGGACACAGTCGTGGGACAATGTGGTAGACCAACGATACGAATGCAGTTGTGGGCTCTGCGCAATGTTTTCATAGTTTTCCTGATTCCATTAGTGCTGCTGCCGCTTCCTGTCGTAGTGAATGATCCGGTGAGGAGTTTCTTGTATTACCGATACCAATTTATCTCGTTCTTTTTAAAATACCAAAAGGATTATGTAACAATTTTTCGGCTCCCTTGTGTCATGCGAAGATCGAGTCCTCAGAAAACTTCAATGTGTCATGTGAAGATCGAGTCTCGAGTAACAATTTTTTAAAAGTTATATTGTTTGTCTTACAAACACTTCCCTCATAACCGTATTTGGTGCAATCCTTGAGACAACACAACGGTTCCACAATTAACCTCTTCGTCTATAAACAGCATCACATTTAGTATTAAAAATTCCCTTTTCAAAAGGATTATTAAAACATCAATGTCACCATCGTTCAGAAAACCGACTGCGCCTACGTGATCTTGGTGATGGCCGTGTTCTGGGTCACGGAGGCCGTGCCCATCGCAGCCACGTCTCTCATCCCCATCTTCCTCTTCCCCATGATGGGACTGCTCTCAGCCAAAACGGTGTCAGCAACATACGTCAACGTGAGTAGCAGCGATGTCGTCAATACACCTAAGTATCAGCAACATACCACAATGTCAGGAACACACCTCAATGTCAGCAACATACCTCAATGTCAGCAACACACCTCAAAGTCAGCAACATACCTCAATGTCAGCAACACACCTCAATGTCAGCAACACACCTCAATGTCAGCAACATACCCCAATGTCAGCAACACACGCCAATGTCAGCAACACACCTCAATGTCAGCAACACACCTCAATGTCAACAACATACCCCAATGTCAGCAACACACGCCAATGTCAGCAACAAACCTCAATGTCAGCAACACACCTCAATGTCAGCAACATACCCCAATGTCAGCAACACACGCAAATGTCAGCAACACACCTCACTGTCAGCAACACACCTAAATGTCAGCAACACACCTCAATGTCAGCAACACACCTTAATGTCAGCAACACACCTCAATGTCAGCAACAAACCTGCCTATACCCGAGTAGTTATACAACCAACAACCTGCAAATACCTGAGTAGTTATACAACCAATAACCTGCCTTTACCTGAGTAGTTATACAACCAGCAACCTCCTGATACCTGAGTAGTTATACAACCAGCAACCTCCTGATACCTGAGTAGTTATACAACCAGCAACCTGCCTATACCCGAGTAGTTATACAACCAATAACCTGCCTTTACCTGAGTAGTTATACAACCAGCAACCTGCCTATACCCGAGTAGTTATACAACCAGCAACCTGCCTATACCTGAGTAGTTATACAACCAGCAGCCTGCCTATACCCGAGTAGTTATACAACCAGCAGCCTGCCTATACCTGAGTCGTTATACAACCAGCAACCTGCATATACCCGAGTACTTGTACAACCAGCAACCTGCCTATACCCGAGTACTTATACAACCAGCAACCTGCCTTTACCTGAGTAGTTATACAACCAGCAACCTCCTGATACCTGAGTAGTTATACAACCAGCAGCCTGCCTATACCTGAGTAGTTATACAACCAGCAACCTGCCTATACCCGAGTAGTTATACAACCAACAGCCTGCCTATACCTGAGTAGTTATACAACCAGCAACCTGCATATACCCGAGTACTTGTACAACCAGCAGCCTGCCTATACCCGAGTACTTATACAACCAGCAGCCTGCCTTTACCTGAGTAGTTATACAACCAGCAACCTGCCTATACCCGAGTAGTTATACAACCAGCAGCCTGCCTATACCTGAGTAGTTATACAACCAGCAACCTGCCTATACCCGAGTAGTTATACAACCAGCAGCCTGCCTATACCTGAGTAGTTATATAACCAGTAACCTGCCTATACCCGAGTAGTTATACAACCAGCAACCTGCAAATACCTGAGTAGTTATATAACCAGCAACCTGCCTATACCTGAGTAGTTATACAACCAGCAACCTGCCTATACCTGAGTAGTTATATAACCAGCAACCTCCTGATACCTGAGTAGTTATACAACCAGCAGCCTGCCTATACCTGAGTAGTTATATAACCAGCAACCTGCCTATACCTGAGTAGTTATACAACCAGCAACCTGCCTATACCCGAGTAGTTATACAACCAGCAGCCTGCCTATACCTGAGTAGTTATACAACCAGCAACCTGCCTATACCTGAGTAGTTATACAACCAGCAGCCTGCCTATACCTGAGTAGTTATATAACCAGCAACCTGCCTATACCTGAGTAGTTATACAACCAGCAACCTGCCTATACCTGAGTAGTTATACAACCAGCAACCTGCCTATACCTGAGTAGTTATATAACCAGCAACCTGCCTATACCTGAGTAGTTATACAACCAGCAACCTGCAAATACCTGAGTAGTTATATGACCAGCAACCTCCTGATACCTGAGTAGTTATACAACCAGCAGCCTGCCTATACCTGAGTAGTTATATAACCAGCAACCTGCCTATACCTGAGTAGTTATACAACCAGCAACCTGCAAATACCTGAGTAGTTATATAACCAGCAACCTCCTGATACCTGAGTAGTTATACAACCAGCAGCCTGCCTATACCTGAGTAGTTATATAACCAGCAACCTGCCTATACCTGAGTAGTTATACAACCAGCAACCTGCCTATACCCGAGTAGTTATACAACCAGCAACCTGCCTATACCCGAGTAGTTATACAACCAGCAGCCTGCCTATACCTGAGTAGTTATACAACCAGCAACCTGCCTATACCCGAGTAGTTATACAACCATCAACCTGCCTTTACCTGAGTAGTTATACAACCAGCAACCTCCTGATACCTGAGTAGTTATACAACCAGCAACCTCCTGATACCCGAGTAGTTATACAACCAGCAACCTGCCTATACCTGAGTAGTTATACAACCAGCAACCTCCTGATACCTGAGTAGTTATACAACCAGCAACCTCCTGATACCTGAGTAGTTATACAACCAGCAACCTGCCTATACCCGAGTAGTTATACAACCAATAACCTGCCTTTACCTGAGTAGTTATACAACCAGCAACCTGCCTATACCCGAGTAGTTATACAACCAGCAACCTGCCTATACCTGAGTAGTTATACAACCAGCAACCTGCCTATACCCGAGTAGTTATACAACCAGCAGCCTGCCTATACCTGAGTCGTTATACAACCAGCAACCTGCATATACCCGAGTACTTGTACAACCAGCAACCTGCCTATACCCGAGTACTTATACAACCAGCAACCTGCCTTTACCTGAGTAGTTATACAACCAGCAACCTCCTGATACCTGAGTAGTTATACAACCAGCAGCCTGCCTATACCTGAGTAGTTATACAACCAGCAACCTGCCTATACCCGAGTAGTTATACAACCAACAGCCTGCCTATACCTGAGTCGTTATACAACCAGCAACCTGCATATACCCGAGTACTTGTACAACCAGCAACCTGCCTATACCCGAGTAGTTATACAACCAGCAGCCTGCCTTTACCTCAGTAGTTATACAACCAGCAACCTGCCTATACCCGAGTAGTTATACAACCAGCAGCCTGCCTATACCTGAGTAGTTATACAACCAGCAGCCTGCCTATGCCTGAGTAGTTATATAACCAGCAACCTGCCTATACCCGAGTAGTTATACAACCAGCAACCTGCAAATACCTGAGTAGTTATACAACCAGCAGCCTGCCTATACCTGAGTAGTTATACAACCAGGAACCTGCTGATACCTGAGTAGTTATACAACCAGCAGCCTGCCTATACCTGAGTAGTTATATAACCAGCAACCTGCCTATACCTGAGTAGTTATACAACCAGCAACCTGCCTATACCCGAGTAGTTATACAACCAGCAGCCTGCCTATACCTGAGTAGTTATACAACCAGCAACCTGCCTATACCTGAGTAGTTATACAACCAGCAGCCTGCCTATAGCTGAGTAGTTATATAAACAGCAACCTGCCTATACCTGAGTAGTTATACAACCAGCAACCTGCCTATACCTGAGTAGTTATATAACCAGCAACCAGCCTATACCTGAGTAGTTATACAACCAGCAACCTGCAAATACCTGAGTAGTTATATAACCAGCAACCTCCTGATACCTGAGTAGTTATACAACCAGCAGCCTGCCTATACCTGAGCAGTTATATAACCAGCAACCTGCCTATACCTGAGTAGTTATACAACCAGCAACCTGCAAATACCTGAGTAGCTATATAACCAGCAACCTCCTGATACCTGAGTAGTTATACAACCAGCAGCCTGCCTATACCTGAGTAGTTATATAACCAGCAACCTGCCTATACCTGAGTAGTTATACAACCAGCAACCTGCCTATACCCGAGTAGTTATACAACCAGCAACCTGCCTATACCCGAGTAGTTATACAACCAGCAGCCTGCCTATACCTGAGTAGTTATACAACCAGCAACCTGCCTATACCCGAGTAGTTATACAACCAGCAACCTGCCTTTACCTGAGTAGTTATACAACCAGCAACCTCCTGATACCTGAGTAGTTATAGAACCAGCAACCTCCTGATACCCGAGTAGTTATACAACCAGCAACCTCCTGATACCCGAGTAGTTATACAACCAGTAGCCTGCCTATACCCGTGTAGTTATACAACCAGCAACCTCCTGATACCTGAGTAGTTATACAACCAGCAACCTGCTGATACCTGAGTAGTTATACAACCAGCAACCTGCCTATACCTGAGTAGTTATACAACCAGCAGCCTGCCTATACCCGAGTAGTTATACAACCAGCAACCTCCTGATACCTGAGTAGTTATACAACCAGCAGCCTGCCTATACCTGAGCAGTTATATAACCAGCAACCTGCCTATACCTGAGTAGTTATACAACCAGCAACCTGCAAATACCTGAGTAGCTATATAACCAGCAACCTCCTGATACCTGAGTAGTTATACAACCAGCAGCCTGCCTATACCTGAGTAGTTATATAACCAGCAACCTGCCTATACCTGAGTAGTTATACAACCAGCAACCTGCCTATACCCGAGTAGTTATACAACCAGCAACCTGCCTATACCCGAGTAGTTATACAACCAGCAGCCTGCCTATACCTGAGTAGTTATACAACCATCAACCTGCCTATACCTGAGTAGTTATACAACCAGCAACCTGCCTATACCCGAGTAGTTATACAACCAGCAACCTGCCTTTACCTGAGTAGTTATACAACCAGCAACCTCCTGATACCTGAGTAGTTATAGAACCAGCAACCTCCTGATACCCGAGTAGTTATACAACCAGCAACCTGCCTATACCCGAGTAGTTATACAACCAGCAGCCTGCCTATACCCGGGTAGTTATACAACCAGCAACCTCCTGATACCTGAGTAGTTATACAACCAGCAACCTGCCTATACCTGAGTAGTTATACAACCAGCAACCTGCCTATACCTGAGTAGTTATACAACCAGCAACCTGCCTATACCCGAGTAGTTATACAACCAGCAACATGTGTATATAACCTAGAAGCTTGGACTTTATATGAAGCGATGTTGATTTGATCCTACGAAAATGCATAAATTGAGACTAAACATATTGAGCAGTACCTGCAAATATATAGTTTTATGTTTAATGAAAAAAATGTGATATAAACTTAATATCTTAAACAGATGTTAGATACGTCGATGTAATTGTTTCTTCGTTTTCAGGACACGTCTGTGATGTGCTTTGGGAGTCTCATTCTGGCCGTCGCCATAGAAACCTGGGGACTCCACAGGCGTATAGCGCTGCGGATCCTGGTGCTTGTTGGTGCAGAACCAAGACGGTAACTGATTGAATTGAGATTGAGTGAGATATTGACCACATTCTCCTAAAGCAATGACACCGGACATGTTTGTTAATACGTATTGCTCACAGTTGACCTTTTCGAAACGTGTTTCATGCTGTCCTTCCTGAAAGATCATCTGCCCTAAAAGCGGAAGGCCGAGAGTTCGATCCCTGGGCTGCGTCGGCCCAAAAGATGGTACTTGTTTATACCCTGCCTGGCGCTCGGCATAAAGAGGATATACAAGGACTGGTCGGCTCAGAGTCAGAATACTGTGTCTGAGTGGGTTATCCATGTTTAACTGCGACATGATATCACAGAGAGCTAGCACTATAAAGTGCGGAGTGGTACAAACAGTCCCAAACAGACACGCACGTACGTACGCTAGCACACGTGTAAGCACGCGCGCGCAGACACATGCCCACACACGCACGCACACACACGTGCACGCACACGTGCATGCAGGTCATTAAAAAGCTGCAATAATCTCAAGCGCGACGTTTAACCCCACCTCCGATTACCCAATTCTCCATGAGGCCATAAATACATAATTATACGTGTTGGTGTGCAAATGAAAACATATTTGATTAAACATGCATAAGGATCGGTGGACAAGACCGTGTCGGCTTGTGGGAATGCATCTCCATTACAAAATGTTGCTCTCAGTAGGCTGTGTATATCAAACCCCACACCACTTTCAACTTCATTTTGTCAACAGACCCTGCAGGAAGTAGATCTAACAGTTCGCATTTGTAAAATTTGGGGACGTTGAATAAATAAAAGACGAGATAAAAAATCAGTTAATCCTTCGATCTCCATGTGTGATCATTGGGAGTAAAAAGATCCCCAAACCCACATGTGCGAGTATGTTTCAGGTTGATGGCGGGGCTGATGGCGGTCACGTGGTTCCTGTCCGTGTGGATCTCCAACACCGCCACCACCGCCATGATGACTCCCATAGTGCTCACAATTCTGCAGCAACTGAAGACTTCCGGTCATGGCGGCCAGGACAAGGATAAGGACATCGAGCATTGTAAGACGACATCAACTCTGTTGGAAGCGTTCGTTAAATCTCCAAATGTATTAAGCCTAGGGAACGATATAACATATATACATTACCGCCGATATAGGATGTTTTGTTTGTGGGTAGGTTTGTTTAACACTCAGCCATATTCAAGCTATGTGACGGCGGTCAGAAAATATTCGAGTCTGGACCAGAAAATCCAGTGATTGACATCAAGAGCATCGATCTATGTAATTGAGATACGATGACATGCATCAACCAAGTCAGCGAGCCTGACCACCCGACCGCGTTGGTCGTGTCTTACGACAAGCATGGGTTGCTGAAGACCAATCAGAGCTCGGATGTTCACGGGTGTTGTATGATGTTGTTACCAACATGGCTGCTCGAGAGGCCCATTGGTCAAAGCGTTGGCTCGAAACGACAAAGACCCGTGTTCTATTCCACACCTTGGTCTAATGTGTGATGCCTACCATTGTAGCTTCACGCATAGCAATATATCATCAAGTTTCATGATAGTTTACAAACATAGCTTCCACCACGACTGGGACAACAACAGCACAAGTAATGACTCACTTCGCATTGGTGTAATCTTGCGTTTATTCGTAGCAAGTAACTCTTACGAGCTGGCGACGCTCGCTCCAGACAACGACCCGGGTAAACCTGCCGAAGGAGACGTTGACTGTAAGGAAAGAACCGCAGCAGCTCAGCGCTCCCCGTCGTCCCCCACCAGGTACGTATGGTTCCCCTCGTTGATACAGGTTAGACAGACGTACCAGATAGACACATGTAGATACCCGACAGTTACAGAGACGCGTGTGACGTGTAGATACCCGACAGTTACAGAGACGCGTGTGACGTGTAGATACCCGACAGTTACAGAGACGCGTGTGACGTGTAGATACCCGACAGTTACAGAGACGCACGTGACGTGTAGATACCCGACAGTTACAGAGACGCGTGTGACGTGTAGACACCCGACAGTTACAGAGACGCGTGTGACGTGTAGATACCCGACAGTTACAGAGACGCGTGTGACGTGTAGATACCCGACAGTTACAGAGACGCGTGTGACGTGTAGATACCCTTTCTAGGGTGACAGTCAATCATGTCCCTTGTCGCTCTGGTGTAATCTTGGATTAAAAAAAACAAGTACATAATTACTATTGACATGACTGTGTATTCTTGTAACAAAGTAAATATTATCTCAGCATTTCTTAACGGTACCTATAACGCTATTGATGTAGGAATATGGTTCAACAGTTAAGAAATATATACGTGAACAGCATGTGTGATTTTGTAAATTATTTTGGAAAACTAGAATATTTAGAAAGCTACATTGAGGAAGTCGACGTAACGGTTGGATTGAGTGGTGATCACTTTCCCGGGCCTTGCGTGTTCCAGCGAAGACGAGACCCTTCATCTGCGCATGTCCAAAGCCCTGTCGCTCAGTATTTGTTTTGCTGCCAACATTGGCGGTATAGCGGGGCTCACGGGGACTGGGTCCAACGTCGTGTTGAAAGGCCAAACCGACATGTAAGTCCAGTAGAATCCAGACAGGGTCGCCCATAAAGTACGGAATTCGTTATTAACAAAATCCTTTGTGTTTAATATCTTGTGTACAAATTAATAAAATTGGAAGAAAGATTTTGGATGATAAAAATAATCTTAAGCCAACAGTTCTACAGTTTTATCCTCTCGCGTTGATATATTTGATACAATCGGGTTGATATATTTGATATAATCGGGTTGATATATTTGATATAATCGGGTTGATAAATTTGATATAATCGGGTTGGTATATTTGATATAATCGGGTTGATATATTTGATATTATCGGGTTGATATATTTGATATAATCGGGTTGATAGTTTTGATTTCATCGGGTTGATAGTTTTGATATCAAAAGATTCGGCTCAGCCGACAATGCCGATTGTAATCAGGTTCTGTTTGTGTGGATCATATTAATTATTTTATTATTCTTATGACCATATGCGATCTTTTGTTTGTTGTTTAGCGCCACACTTAGCAATATTCAAACTATAAAACGTTGATCTGTAAATAACACAGTCTGGACCAGTCAATCCGGTGATTGACATCACGAGCATCTATCCATGCAAACACCAAGTCACTGCGCTTGACCACGTGATAGATGTTACAAGGTTGCTTGGGACGTATATTTTTATTTTACCCGGAATCTCCATAATAATTAATGTACCAAATAAATACAAGGTAGGAGCGGTAGTTGAGGCTAGTCAGTCGTTAAGGCGCTCGCTGCTCACGCTGAAGCCGCGGTATTGTTTCCCATGTGTGAAGCCCACATCTGCTGTCACACGTCGTGATATTACCGGACTATTTTAAAAGCGGCGAAAAACACAACTCGATCAATATATTTCTTCCCCTGCAGCATTTTCGCTAACAACAACGTCACCTCCCCCGTCACGTTCAGCGCGTGGTTGGTGTACGGGGCCCCCCTCTCCCTCCTCGTCCTCATCCTCCTGTGGTTCTGGATGCAGATCTACATGCTCAGATGCAGGTACTGCTAGCCGCACAATTGGTTCTAACTAGCCTAAAATAGCTTCCTACATTTCCTTAATTTCCTTCCACAATTAATCATTAAATTGTTTCGGTCTTATTTCAAGATTTGCGTCCAGAGATTTGCAGTGTTTGTTTGTTGCACATCTTTTTTCATTTTTTAAAATAAATCGTGATGTTCGAAATCAAACCTCGAAAACCGGATCCTAACATGACTAAGAGACATAACCCTGCAAAGCATTAGAAACACTACAGTGTACTTCAAGCCCGAATACCAAAAAAAAAAACCACTTCCTGATGAATTAAATTTCTGAATTACTGGCCACGAATAGATGCAATATTGCTGCTTAAAACACTATTCGATCACTAATTACTGAAGTTCCAGTTAATGATGTTTAATTAAACTTCATTCAAATGAAATTCAAAAGTCCTGTCAAATCATCTTGTCAGAAATGTGTTAGTCGCCAAGTCCGACTGGCTTCTATGACTGATTACAACTCTATTCGGAATGGTTATGGGGCGGTGGGTCAGCCTAGTGGTTAGCCTTCACTCGTTGCTCGAGTTCGATTCCCGACATGAGTACAATGTGTGAAGCCCATTTCTGGTGTCCCTCGCCGGGATCCTGCTGGAATATTGCTAAAAGCGGCGTAAATTCATACCCATTCACTCACTAACTCTGAATAGGCATACCACGTGACATAACGTATTAGTCAACAAATTTATTGTTATTACCCTGCACATATATGACAGATAATATGTTCAATATAGATGTTGCGGCACATTCTCAAACCAGACCGCTACCAGAAGAGTCAACGACGCCCTAAAAGAAGAATTAAAGAAGCTTGGACCGATATCGTGAGTGTGAACTGCCTTGTTACATTCACTTTGTATCCTATAGACTAATAAGGTAAATGATATAGGAGGTAATATACAGCCCTGCTGAACCCCCTTTCGCTTATTTTTCTGAACTCATTTTTCTCATCTCCCTGCAGAGATTCCGGGTTAGCATAGGTTCCCTGCAACCAATGCTGGGGAGTTGACCTGTGACTTGGTTGATTGTGCGCGATAGCACCCGGACGCTCGTAATTTCAATTACAGGGTTTCTGGTCCAGACTCGAATATTTGCAGGCGGCTGTCACATTGCTTGAATATTGCCGAGTGCGGCGTTAAAAAACCCCAAACATATGTTATCTCCTGAATAATTACAAATAACTTTACCTTACAGTCACAGTATACAGTCATGAGTAAATGCATTCATGTACTTTGTCAACAGAATTAGTACCCAGAGAATTAGTATTCAGAACATATTTGACTTTACGTGTATCGTTCAACGCCGTTAAGTAACTGTTATAATAGTAACTCATGTGTGTGTGTGTGTGTGTGTGTGTGTGTGTGTGTGTGTGTGTGTGTGTGTGTGTGTGTGTGTGTGTGTGTGTGTGTGTGTGTTTTAATATAAAAACAAAAAAAAATGTAAATATCTTATATGTATCTGTTGCTAGAATACATACAGGCTGTCCCTAAGGATCAGTTATGGGTGGTGGGGTAGCCTAGCGGTTAAAGTGTTGACTCCACGGCGAAGACACTGGTTCGATTGCCCTAGTGGGTGCACGCATATGAATCCCATGTCTGGTGTGTCCCAGTCGTGATATAGCTGGGATAGTTTTATAAACGTCGTAAAACCCTTCTCACTCACTCACTCCTCCTGATTTCACTGAGTTCCTTGTCTACAGGTTTCCCCAGTGGTGTACGATGATATTCTTCGGACTTCTCACGGTGCTGTGGGTCACGAGAGATTTCGGAAACTTTGGCGGCTGGGGACGAATTTTTAAACCAAAGTAGGCTCTTTCATCCCCATGAAAGATTAAATGTACACATTTGTATTTATCATCTCAGAAATGTTATCTCTGTTGATTTTGTTAATAATCATTGATATGCATGTATATTCGCGTTAATGTTTTTAATTTCGAATATACTGTGTAAGAATTAATAATGTGTGGGTGTAACTGTTTTTATTTTTATATCACGAAATGCACTTTATACGCCTTGTATAGAATACACCATAATAGAAAATATTTCATTTTTCGATAATTTTACTTACCTAGTGAGAATATGTAAGAAAAGTAAAGACCTACGAGAAAAACATAAATCTTCACAAAGTGACGGTGTGCTCCCTTAAATTTTCGAATAAAGATTACATTGCCATGTGTGGGGGCTGGGGGTGGGGGCTGGGGGTGAGGGTGGTAGAAACACCCAGATGCCCCCACTCACACACACACAATCACCCACCCCCAAGGCAATGTAAGCTTGACGTATCTGAGTGTTTCTACAATCCAGGTTTGCGTCAGACTCGACCCCTGCCATCTTCATCAGCTTTCTGCTCTTTATATGTCCCGCTGATCCCCCGTTCTGTTTTCGGAAGCAAAATGGTAGGTAAATTATATACGTATTTGTGTTCTTAGTCACTAAATTCAGCTGTCAAATTGTGTAAACTATTAAGATTCGACCCCAAATAATCCATATTTGTGACAAGAGGTTACTAACTTACACAACACTCGATGGTTTGTCTGCACCAGGCTTGACTACTGACAGGCTGCCATGGCACAGTTGGAACATTGCTTAAAGTGGCGTAAAACAATATTACTGCAATTTTATCATTCGGGGGCGGTATTCATAAAAGAACTTAAGTCTGAAGAAAACTTAAGTCTTGAAAAAAACTAAGTTTTTCTCCTTTTCTGACTTAAGTTTTAAGATTTGACTTAAGTACCGCTAGGGCGTCGTTCGTTTCATGAAAGAAGACAAAGTCTCCTTGAATACAACGATGAGGAGTTAATACGGCGATACCGTTTAGATGGAAATGGCATTAGGTACGTAGCTAATTTAATAGCAGCTGACGTGGAGCCTGCAACTAACCGTAACCACGCACTTGTCGAGATACAAAAGACGCTGATCACATTAAGGTACTTTGCAACGGGAAAGTTTCAGTTGTGTAATGCAGATGATCAAGGTGTCACCGAGCCCACCATTTCCAGAGTTGTACATAAGTGCATCACCAGTTTGTCATCTGACAGGATTGTGAAACAGTTTGTCCGCTTCCCCATGCAACTCGGGGACATTAGGCGTCACCAAACCAACTTTTATCACATTCGCGGAGTTGTCGGGGTGATCGATGGAACCCACGTACAAATCCAGGCTCCAACAGAAAACGAAAATGAATACGTAAGCCGACATCATTATCACAGTATAAATACGCAGATCGCTTTTGACAGCGACGACAGAGTCATTGACGTTGTTGCTCGGTGGCCGGGATCGACACACGATTCACGCATGTTGACAAACAGCGGGCTCTACCAGCTTTTCGAGCGCAATGTTGTCCCCATCGGATGTCGTCTTCTCGGTGACAGTGGTTCCCCCTGCAAGAAGTGGCTACTTAACCCTTTCCTAAGACCATTGCCGGGACCACAAGCAAACTACAACAGGTATGTAAAGTGTCAAGTTTCGTGTTACGTTGCCGATCGTAATCAACAACTTAGAGTGATGTCCCTTGTATTTACCTCGATTACATATTTGCCCATCTTTTTTTCATAGAGCACAAACGCAATATTTGGTCTGGATAATCGAAGCAATTACAAAAACATTCTTAAAAAAATACGGAATATTATTCACACCATAACCATATATTTTTATTTTAACATCGATTATTATGTTTATGTTAGTTGTTCTAAATGTACAAGTAATCATGTGCTGTTTTGGTAAGCATGCTGAATATTTGTGGTCATTAAGAATATTTTTATATGAACATTACCAGTATGAATTTCCTAAATAATCTAAAGTGTAAATTAGTGTTTTCGAGTGATCAAAATTATTTCTTCAACAAGTGACAGTTATCAATAAAAAGACAAATATATTTCTTAAACCCTGTTAAAGATTAATGTTACAGGTTACACTCTGATATGTTATGTTTCCTGTTCTCCATGGGGAAATCAGGTTAAAACCTGAGAAGGCTTGTAAGGTAAAAAATATGGTCAACAAATGTTAATTTGTGTGCACTATTTAATTGCCACACAAATAAGTTCAACAAAACAAACATGTAACAAAGCTAAATGACAATAAATATATAAAATAACAATTCCTAGAGAGGAAAGCAATGATTGAAAGCAACAAGATTTTATTGAGTTACGTAATTATTTCAAACATGGTTGTTTGAATTTATGTTAACAAATGCCATTGAAAATATGAAAAGAACAATGCAGTGGCTCATCATCTATTGAAGTTTGTACATGGACATGAACTTGATCAGATTGACATTTGTATCTAAATCAAGTGAATATATATATATATATGTCTTAAGGCAGTTGTAGATTGGTAATGACTGGGAGCAGAAAAGGAAAAATTCATAAATACTTGAAGTATAGAATTGTTAAGGTGTATGTGGAGATGATCAGGAATGATGGGGTTATTTGTTATTTACAGTAATATTTGTATGTTTAACTGAGGCCAGGTAAAAGCCTAAATGGTAAGCGTAATGATGTTAATTTATCATTAATGATTTCACATTTTAGGTGGTAATAGCATGTGCTGTCCTACACATCATATGAAAGGACAGAAATATATTAATATCCCTGTACCGCCCACTGATGGGCATGATGGACTTGGCAGGCTTGATGGGCAGAATGGAGCTCAAGCAGTGACTGCTCCACCAGTAGCTGCACTCAGATACCGGGAGCACTTTGCCAATACCAACTTTCCATGTAAGATTATTTTATTGTAATTTTCAACATTTCCTCATAATAAATCAACTTTGTATCAGCAGTACATTCTTTGCAAAGTATCTTTTGTTTTTAATCATCTTAATTATCCCCCACTCTCTTAAATATGCAATATTCTACATGCAATGTACTAGTTCGCAAAAATGTTCCACAATAGTGTTTCTACCAGAATCTGTTTAATCTTAACATTGGCCTTAGCATGTATTGTGACATTTAATATTCAAATATATAAATAATTCTTTAATCCCCAAACAACATGTATGATACTTTTAGCTAATTCAGTTTCATGATTTTCAATATAAGGTATTCCTTTTTCAAAGTGAGGAATTCAATTTCAAGCCTTAATTTTTGCTTCAACAGAGTTTCCACGGTTGGTGAAGTGAGGGACACTGTGACATCTGGCTCCTTGGAATACATGTTGACTCCTTCTGGATGAGGATGTGGATCTGACATGGCGGTGTCATCAATCTCCCTGCAACAGAAAATATTAAAGTTTTAATTGTAATTTTCACATAAATGTTCTTTTCAAATTCAACAAACCTATTGTTTTGTGTTATAATAATGAGAACATAAAAAAAATTGTAATTAGTCTCTAACCCGGAAGCTATCTCATATCATTGATGTACCTGTCAGTAGGTGGCATTAGATCCAGCACCTGCAGCATTGTCGTGTCAATTGAGCCAGGCACACCAGTAAGGGTCACGTTGTCCTGGCCTAAGATATCAATGACTGCATTGGTCACTAGGCTGATTGGTGCTGGTGCTGGTCCGTCTCCTGTGTAAACATTTAATTACAAACTGTAATTTTTTATATCTTTTAAATTTTTTATTATATATGTTCGTTTATGGAAGGGATAAGGCAATGAAATTTCTAATCATCATCATCATCTGAATGTATTTTGGAAATAATATTCTTCATACAATAATACACAGAACATTATGATTGATAATTGATCTATTGGTAATAACGTATTTATGATGACCATTGATAGAAGAGATGTCATGCAATAACCCTGACTTGTATACAGTTTGTTTGAAGGGAAGAAAAGTACTTGCCAGTTCCGTTTGGCAGTTTCCCAAATTCGGAGTACTTGTGTTTTCCTGGCTTTTCACGTTCTTCCATTATTTCCACCTGTTCCTTTGTTCTCGGGTGTAAACCTGAGGAATTGAGCTGTAGCTGTAATAACCTGTAGAGTTAAGGGAAAGTAGTAAGTGTCTTACAATTGTGGAAATATTACAATATTAAGGGGCCGAAAATTTTGTGAGGGTGCTAGATTATATAAAAAAGTGGTTTGATCCCGAATATATATAAAATATATTTTTCTCAAGTTAATGTATTCAGCCGACAATTAAGATGTTAATACTTTGGATATCACTTCAAGATTTCATATTTAACCCCAAGTCTGCTGCAAGGGCACTGTCAGTAAAAAACCTCTAATTGGAAATCACAAATGTTCCAGTTTATGATAGTAATAGAATATGTTATGGCTATAGTAGAGGTGACTTAAATTCCACTGATAACAGGACCAATCACCAATAGTGATGATTTCATGCTCAGTTGTAGAATGTTGCATTAAATCTATATGCAGTGGTAAATACTAGTGAAAATATTGTTACTGAAAATCAGCAAGTTGGCTACAAGGACAGGTTATTTATTATAGGGGTTTGTGGGATTTGTTATACTAATATTTAAATAATGTTCGATTTACCTTTTGAATACAGTACCACAAACTTTTCAAACACGTGACAATACCCTATGACGTAACTTGTAGTATTTTGTTGCCAGTCACACCGTCGAAACAATGGCCTATACCGTCAGGGGTCATCGGGTGCATAAGCACCTCCCAGTGATCTATCATCCCCACACGCAATGTCATTGAATACGCCCAGCGGTGTTGAGAGTTTTGAATATTTGTTAACTGAATATAGCCTGCGGTGGCGCATTTTATAGCAAGCGCTAGTTTACGAAAGCACTTTTATTTTTTATATATTTTTTATTTCGTTTTCCTCGTAATTCAAGTGGCTAAAATGGTTATAAATGGGAACTAATATACATATATTATTTTCTCGGTGCATTAATTTTCATTATTATGCACAAGAATGTAGTTTGTTAGGGATATTTAGTGGTGCTGAACACATCCAAATGTCGCAAGTGTTAGGGTAGGTTACCCCGAAGTCTATCGTTAACCCTTGGATCCCCTTTACGATCAATCACCCCTTTACGATCATTAGGGTTAGGAACCCGTTTAGTGGCTATTAGATTACCCGAACTCTATCCTTAACCCTTGGATCCCCTTTACGATCAATCACCCCTTTACGATCATTAGGGTTAGGAACCCGTTTATTGGCTATTAGATTACCCGAAGTCTATCCTTAGCCCTTGGATCCCCTTTACGATCAATCACCCCTTTACGATCATTAGGGTTAGGAACCCGTTTAGTGGCTATTAGATTACCCGAACTCTATCCTTAGCCCTTGGATCCCCTTTACGATCAATCACCCCTTTACGATCATTAGGGTTAGGAACCCGTTTAGTGGCTATTAGATTACCCGAACTCTATCCTTAGCCCTTGGATCCCCTTTACGATCAATCACCCCTTTACGATCATTAGGGTTAGGAACCCGTTTAGTGGCTATTAGATTACCCGAACTCTATCCTTAGCCCTTGGATCCCCTTTACGATCAATCACCCCTTTATGATCATTAGGGTTAGGAACCCGTTTAGTGGCTATTAGATTACCCGAACTCTATCCTTAGCCCTTGGATCCCCTTTACGATCAATCACCCCTTTACGATCATTAGGGTTAGGAACCCGTTTAGTGGCTATTAAAATACCCGAACTCTATCCTTAGCCCTTGGATCCCCTTTACGATAAATCACCCCTTTACGATCATTAGGGTTAGGAACCCGTTTAGTGGCTATTAGATTACCCGAACTCTATCCTTAGCCCTTGGATCCCCTTTACGATCAATCACCCCTTTACGATCATTAGGGTTAGGAACCCGTTTAGTGGCTATTAGATTACCCGAAGTCTATCGTTAACCCTTGGATCCCCTTTACGATCAATCACCCCTTTACGATCATTAGGGTTAGGAACCCGTTTAGTGGCTATTAGATTACCCGAAGTCTATCGTTAACCCTTGGATCCCCTTTACGACCAATCACCACTTTGCGATCACTAGGGTCAGGTACTCGTTTAGGGGCTATTATAGATTCTATAGCGGCTCATAATATTCTTCACACAAAAACGTCGAGTAAAAAGGATGAAATGGTTTTGTGTCGAATATTTTGGCTACTGGAAACTGTCCTGGAACATTCACACAAGCCACTTTCACCGGTTACATTTTTTCAGTACTGATTCAAAAGCGAACTCACCGTTGTGTCGTCACTAGCCATGCTTATTCCTCCCTCGTTCCTTACTATTATCCACTTTATCCTTACAGTGTTCCCTACCACACTTTCCTATCACAAAAATTCACTCGACGAATTTATTAAATAGATCTACCATATCATTCATGCGTACTCGAGATTTCGACGTCTGACGTCTGGAGCTGTTTTCAGTTCGCGCCATATCGGATCATTCCTCACCACTCGGTATCTTGTATATTACGGAATGGGACGAGTGTGACTAAAGTCACGAGACACCATGCCTACCCGTAACTTTCGTTAGTGTCTGTCACTTATTCGACCGTTTTCGTTCAGTTCCGTAACAACGTAGGCATGACCAGGTAAATTTGCACTAAGTTTTACAGTGTGGACGTAGCTCAGTCGCTTAGCTGTCGGGCTACCAATCCAAAGGTCGCGAGTTCTCTCAAAAGCTCGTTGCTTGTCTTTGAGACATGTGACTTACGGCAGAGATCGTCCTCACGAGAAATTGTGGTACTGTATATCAAAGGTGCTCCCTTTAACTTTTGATTTCAACACTGTTAACTAGTGATCCTTTCCACAAAGCGATCTCAGTGCTCAGCTCAAGTCCCATACTTGAACGCAGACTTAAGATCTTGGTAGTGGTGGGATCGTAATGCTGTAGAACGGTAACCTGGAAATAGTTGCTTGTCGATTTTCTATACGACTGATGACTAAAAGCTGACAGAGACCCCGGTACTCCCATTCTCCAAATAGCGAATGAATGAATATTGTTTTACGCCGCATCAGCAATTTCAAGCTATTCGCGTCGACCCAAATAACGAGCGTGGAGTGTTGTATGTATCTGCCCACGTTCCCCGGACGTCCTGTGGTAGGTCCTGGTGCTTGTATGCTCAGGTCAGATGTCCCCAGTGTCTGGCAGACCTCCGTCTGGATGTACAGTGTATGTGTGTGTGTCTTATCTCCAGATGTCGGAGAACCAACGTTCCGGCCGCTGCTCACCTGGAAGGATGTCCAGGAGAAGATGGCATGGTCACTCTACCTTCTCTTCGGGGCCGGCTTCTCGCTGGCAAAAGCATCTCAGGTCAAGCCTTTATACCAGCTGCCGTCTTTATACCAGCTCCCGTCTTTATACCAGCTACTGCCTTTATACAAACTACCGTCTTTATACCAGCTCCCGCCTTTATACAAACTACCGTCTTTATACCAGCTACCGCCTTTATACCAACTACCGTTTTTATACCAGCTGCCGTCTTTATACCAGCAACCGTCTTCATACCAACTGCCATCTTTATACCAGCTACCGTCTTTATACCAGCTACCGTCTTTATACCAGCTACCGTCTTTATACCAACTACTGCCTTTACACCAACTACCGCCTTTATACAAGCTACCGCCTTTACACCAGCTCCCGCCTTTATACCAACTACTGTCTTTACACCAGCTCCCGCCTTTATACCAGCTACCGCCTTTATACCAGCTGCCGTCTTTATACCAGCTACCGTCTTTATACCAGCTACCGTCTTTATACCAGCTACTGTCTTTATACCAGCTACTGCCTTTATACCAGCTACTGTCTTTATATCAGCTACTGCCTTTATACAAGCTACCGTCTTTATACCAGCTACCGTCTTTATACCAGCTCCCGTCTTTATACCAGCTACTGTCTTTATACCAGCTACTGCCTTTATACCAGCTATCGTCTTTATACCAGCTACCGTCTGTGATGTATTGTCATTAACTACGAGAGCACGAGGTGATGATGATTGGTTTTTATTCACTGATCGTACACACCTGACTTCCGGTTTCGGGTAACACTAATACCCGGATTCCATATTGTAGCGGAACACATATTCTGAGTATAATACGGAACGTAAACATTACATCCTCTTCTTTGTAGAATGTAACTTGGTAATGATGCACATTAAATTATAACTGTCACTGGTCTCTGTAAAGTCTCTGACCATCACTGCTTTCACTTAGACAAATTAAAATTGGTCCACAGAACATATCTTGTTCACCTACAGTTCCAAATTAGACCGTAATAACTAAAACTGCCATTTTTCTTGCTGATGTAAATCACATCACAACATATGCACTCTGATGAATTTCAGGAATTAAAATCAACATTTAACAAAAACCCAGCAAAAATATGCAAACACAGTCACTGTTTGTTTGTTTAAAGAACCAATCTATCCGGAACTTTACGGACACGGGTCGATCTGCGGACTATAGTATGTTTATCTGGACTCGAGCGACTTGTATCACGTTCGACTACTGTCTCTTTGACATCGACAGCCGTTGATGGGATATCAGACACTTTGACATCACGCGTACCTGCCTGGGTCGACACGGGAATGTCATGGGTCGGACTGTACATCTGCTGTCTGGGGTTGTGCTGGATCACATTCTCAGGCTGGTAAACATCACTAGTGACACTCATGTTGTCATCATCTGACTGATTGTTCATTAAAGGAAGCTTCTTGAAAAAAGATGAGTTTCTCCTCACTGTTCTCCCTCCTCCTTCTGCGGTGTACATGCTGCCTTTCTGGGACACAATGATCATGGGGTCAATTTCATATGGTGTGTTTCCTTTCACCATGTTGAATGGTCTGTGTACCAAAACATTGTCACCAACTTGTAGATTACACGGTCGAACATTCCGTTTGTGGTCATGGTAGGTTTTCATTTTCTGTTTCTGTTCAGCATCTCGACTGCTAACAATCTCTGCCAAGGGATCGATGTAGGGAAGCTGTGGTAGCTTGTTCCTGACGATTCGTTTCAACAATAATGTCGCTGGGGCAACTCCTGTAGTCTCATGAGGCGATGTTCTGTACAACCGGAGGTAAGATTGTAAACCTTTTCTCCAGTTCTCACCTTTTGCCTTTGCCACTTTCACGTGCTTTTTCAAGGAGCCAACGAAGCGTTCAATGCCTCCGTTTGCACGGGGCCAAAGAGGGGTAACTCTTTGTATCTTGAAGGCGAGTGAATTGGCAAATCTCTTGTATTCGTCACTGGTAAATGGTGGGCCATTGTCAGACTTGACAACTTCGGGTGTTCCCATTGCTGCAAAGATTTTGTCCAACACGGGAATAACACACGATGCACTTGTGCTGGATACTGGTTCGACGAATGGGTATCTAGAGTAGTCGTCGATCAGCAGTAACACGGTTTCACCATCAATATGCGCAAAGTCAACACTCACCCTTTCAAATGGAGCTTTTGGTAAGGGCGACATTTTCAGGGGTTCTCGTTGCATGGTTGGCACAGCTATTTGGCACGGTAAGCATGATTTTATTTTCTGAGTGACCAATTTGTCCATAAGCGGGAACCAAACTTTCTCACGGAGTAATGCGATTGTTTTTACAATGCCCAGATGCCCTTCATGTGCGATATCAACCACACGTTCCTGGAGTAATGTTGGCACAACGATCCGATTGGACTTCAAGAGAATCGTGTCAGAACAGGTAAGCTCATGTTGGATTTTCTCGAATCTACTCATCTCTGCCAGTGACACGCCTGGTGGGGTTTCATGCCACCTTCCAGATTTCAGAGCTGATATAACTGCCTGCAGGAGTTGATCATGCAATGTTGCATTCTCGATTTCGGTAAGTGTCATGGCTTTGGGAACAGCATTTCGCGAGACGTACGCGACATAACTTTCAGCACACTGGTCTTCCTCTCCTGATCGGTCTGAAACAGGCAAAGGATGACGTGATGCGTAGTCTGCCTGGTTATTTGATCCGGGTCTGTATTCCACCGTGAAGCGATAATGCTGCAAGTCCATCAGCCATCTTTCGATTCTTGCCGATGGTCTTGATGCTGGATTGTTGAAGAGTGATACCAAGGGTTGGTGATCAGTCACAACTGTAAACTCTTTACCGTAGAGGTACAAGTTGAAACGTTTGATTGCCCAATAGATAGACAGTGCTTCTCTGTCGATTTGAGGGTAGCGCGACTCTGTGTCAGAGAGTGGATGGCTTGCAAAATGAAGTGGTTTCACTTCGCCTGTGACAGGATCCTTCTGTGTCAACACCGCGCCAAGCCCAATGGGACTTCCGTCTACGAACAACATGCATGGCTTCTCGGGGTCAAAGTAACTGAGCGTTATGTTTTCAGATAACGCCATTTTGAGCCTGTCAAGAGCTTGTTGTTCGGTTTCACCCCAAGTCCAAGGAAAATCCTTGCACGTGAGTCGACGCAGTGGTTTCGTGATGAGAGCAAAGTCTTTGATGAAACGACTACAAAATGACGCTGAACTCAGAATGCTGCGAACTTCAGAGGCATTTGTTGGTGGTTGGATGGCCTGTAGATCTGCCACCTTCTTTGGATCAGGTGAGATACCATCTGCGCTAAATCGATGACCGAAGAATAGCATGCTAGGCACACCAATCTCACACTTTGATGCATTGATTGTCAGGTTGCAGTCAGACAGACGCTGTAACACTTGTCGTAGGCGCTGATCATGCTCCGATACATTTCTACCACCAATGTAGATATCGTCGCTGATATTGCGAGCACCTGGGATGCCTTGGATCACATCTCCAATCACTTTTTGGAATATTTCGGCTGAGCACGACATGCCAAAGTTGAGCCTTTTGTACCGGTAAAGCCCAATGTGCGTGGAAAATGCAGTCAAATTCCGAGAATCAGGGTGTAGCATGATTTGATGGTACCCTTGCTGGAGATCAAGTTTGCTGAACAACTTACAGCCATTGAGGTCTGCTGCGATGTCATCAATCGTGGGTATAATGTGGCGTTCACGAATGATAGCACGGTTCACAGATCGCATATCTACACATATGCGTATGTCATCTGGGTTTCTCGGTTTCGGGACAACAACAATCGGCGAGATCCATGGTGTCGGCCCGTTGCATTTCTCAATGATATCTGATTTCTCGAGCTCTTCGATTTTCTTTTCCACCTGTTTCCGAACGTGAAATGGAATTCTGCGATGTGGTTGTGTTACTGGTTTTATGTTCGGGTCAACGTAGACTCTGACAGGATTTCCCATGTATGCACCCATACCTTCTGTCACATTTGGAAATTCTTGTATGATTGACGGCAAAGTCGACTTCTCTGTTGACTTTTTGGGGGTTGACTTCTCACCAGTCGACACGTGTATGTTGTTGGCCACACGAATGAGGTTTAGCTTCTGTGATGTCTTCCAACTGACTAGTGAGCTACTTGGTCCACTCGCAACATAAAATGTCTCTCTACACTCCCTGTCTGAATATTCACAAGCCAGGTCTGCTTCAAATTTCCCCAAAATGTTCAATGGTGATATGGACATATAGGGGTAGATTTTGGTTTTGGATGAAATAAGTTGTGGTTTCGGGTTGAGTTTGTCAAAGTCACACTTGTTCATAATATTCACTGTAGCACCAGAGTCAGCCATGATTCGGATCGGGGAACCAGAAACTGAAATGTCGAAAAATGGTGCGTCAACCAGACTTGTTTTCGATAGAAGGAAGGTGTATTCTTCCCCACTACTTGTTTTGTGTGTAGCGCCAGCTACTGTGTTGTTTGTTTCATCTTCATGATTGACTGATCGAGCAGATTGTCTGTTTCTCCCTGGTGTGTGTTTCCAATTTCCTTGTTTCCAATTTCCTCTCCCACGGCCACGATTGAAATTGCCAGGTTTGCGGGGACTGGAATCTGGTTTAGAACGACACACATGACTGAAATGATTTAATTTTTCACATTTGTGGCATACTTTTCCATGTGCTGGACAGGTGCCATGATGGGGATAGTGTCCTCCACACAATCCACATGTTGTATTTTCCACTGTAACCCTTGGGCGTGGTTTCTGATCTCTCGCTCGGTGTGCAGGGTTGTTGCTGTGTTTGCTGTGAACTGAACATGAGGTCATTTTCTTTAGCAACTTCCATGGAATGAGCGGTTTTCAAAATACTGTCAAGTGTCAGTTTTTGTTCAATGGCTTTACGTCTGAGTCTGTGATCACGTGTTCCTTGGATGATTTGCCGTTTAATTTCCAGGTTCTCATCATGAAACTCACACCGTTTTGCCAAGATCACTAACCGGGTATAAAATTCACTGACAGTCTCTCCACTTTGTTGCGTT